GTTATTTCTTATTGAATTTGTCTACTAGAAGGAGAAGTAATGTAATACATATTTATATTACTTAGAAAATTTGAAGTAAACAAAAGTAGGTAAAAATATCTTAGATAAAAAATATCTTCTTTAAAAAGCTATAGAAAAGTATTTTAGACATAGATTACATCATTAGACTCTAAATTCTTTGATTTCTTTGTATTTGATAACAACTATTATAATTTATTTTGTTCTTATATTTATTTCTTTAATACTTAATTTCTTTTATTTTAAATGATACATAAGTATATTATCTTTTATGTAGATTCTTGAATTAGATAATTAGTACTTGAATTAGAATTTATTTTGTATAAAATATTTAGCTTAATTTATTATATCAATATAATTAAATATTAAAAAATAAAATAAAATAAAATCATAGTACCAACATTGTTGGTTTGATTCTTAGTAAATACTTCTTTGCAAGTAAGATATATTCTTATGAAAAAATTATAATAATATTTTTTATATCATTAAAACATAGGATTGTTTATAAAAATAAAAATTATTCCAAGGATTTTTTATTTACAAATGAATTGAATTATTAAAGTATAAGATATTTATATAAAAAAATATATTTATATATAATTTTATAACTTTAATTTCTAATTTTTGATATCCAATTATTTTTTCATAAAAAGCTAAAAATAATAAATACTAATTATGCTTATTTTAAATTAAACATGTGATTCTATTTTTTAAAAATTTAAATCTGCAGTCATTAAATTTATAGATTTAAAATTTATATAGAATTTTAGTAGAAATAATAAATATTTATTTTTTAATTGAAGCATATTATTATAAAACAACTAATTAATTTTTTGTATAACATGTATAAATATTATATAATTTATTTTAAGATGATGAATTAATGAATATTTTTTTAAAAAAATATTTTAGAAAGTTATAAATATCAATAATATATATATATATATATATATATATATATATATATCACTTTTATCATAATACCTTTAAAATTTAGAAATGATAAAATAATAAAATTACAATTGATTTCTTTAAAATAGTTAAATTTATAATAAATATTATTTTACTAAAAATTATAAATATTCGCCTAAAAAATTGAGTTGTCTCATGAATGATAATAAAAAAAAGTGATAATAACAGTAATAGTATAAATAACAAAAAATGATAAAGTATCAAACAAATTTACAGCAGAAATACATTGTTTACTTGACATGAAAAAATGTTATAGATCTTCAACACCTTCTTGTTGAATTTTTTTAGAATGTCATAAAAAAAAGAAAAAAAGAAAAAAAAAGATATGACTTCTTTTAAAAAAAACAAACTTCTTATGCTTTCATACAATAACATCATTAGTGTCAAGATGTAGTGGGGACAGTGGCTATATCTTAAGTTATGGTCCAGAAGTACATGATAAAAAACAGTTTTCTTATATTTTAGAATAGATGTAATTTTTGATCTAAAACAATGACCACTTCATGAGTTTATTTTACTTTTAAATAGAAATATTTTATCTTAAAATGCCATAACTTTAGATATGCAATAGCAAACAAACAATATCAATATTTCTATAACAATTAGACTTTTAAACTTGGGACTTTAAATAATGTTATTACAATGATCTTATTTACCACATATGCCAAAGTATCCAACATATTTTCCTCTCTTTAAGAATTTAAAATATGTATATGCAAACAAGGTCACATGTGAGCAAAATCCTTCTCTACACATTCATTACATATTATAAAAGTCCACATGGTGATTGTTCAACCAAAGTGCTAACATTCACCAAAGCATTCCAAGTCATTTTCCTTGATTGATGTCCCTTACTAAATGTAAATTAAAGGGGACACCAAAATTCAATCCTTCACACTTGGGGCACTCAGTGCTCCATGGAAGCCACCAAAGTCATGTGTGAAACGGATCCCACCAGGCTCACAGAAACGACCGGTGCCATGTCATCAACCTACGGCCAATGGGTGGCTACCAAGTTACCCAGAAAAAGTAAATTCAATTAAATTTTAAATTTTAAATTTTAATTATATAAATGTATGTATGTATGTATGTATGTATGTATGTATTTATTTATTTATGTATGTATGTATGTATGTATGTATGTATATGTATAAATATATATATATATATATATGAGTGCATTTGATTACTATGACATATATATTTATATATATATATATATATATATACTAAAACTACAAAAATAAAATAAAGTAAATAAAAAGTAAAACTCTTCGTGTGTTCTTGTCTGTGTGAATCAATTCTTTAGGGTGGGAACCGAGAGTCAATGCTGAGAGTCAAGACGGGGCTTCCTTGGAATCCACGCCCATGTACGAGAATGAATGAATTTCTAAACCTAATGTTATCTGTTGTTTTTTTTTAGCTGGTTGGTTTTAGAGTGTAGTTGTTCATTTCATTCTACTGGTGATGTGTGATGCTTAAACTTGGAATAGATGAATGGCACTCATGGTTCTTACAGCTTTGATAGTGGAATTTATAAATGGAATATAAATATAAATAAAAGTGTGTTTATTTAAAAGTTATCATCATAACATAATATATTGTTTTGTGGTTTCAATTTGTCATGTTGCTCACAATGGTAATTGAGGAATTTTTATAGCACATAGAAGCCAAAAGCTTAGAAATACTTTTAAATTTTTCTTACATTTGATGATTACTGCTGTGGCATTTGGTGGTTTAGACATAAATTCTGTAAAAAATCAAATTCTCTCAGCTTTCAAGGTAAGAGAATAAGGGGTTTATAATCATTATCTTTTGCCTGAGAAATGAAGAAATAAACAGGATTTTATGAAATATTATACTTCGAAAATCATCAAAGAAAAAATACTATATATATATATATATATATATATTAAAAGATATTGAATATACCTTTTAAGTATATGTACACTATATTTGTATGTTTAAAAGAAAATAATGGAAAAAAAACATCTAAAAATATTAAAATAATCAATTACTGAAAGTATTACCTAAACACTTATTTCAAAATGGGTTATAACTCTTAAATCTTAAAAATGTTTACATGTGCTTAAACTCATAAACTTTAATTCATAAGGATCTCTAAGAAAATAAGAGTAATTAGATAATTAAAACACTCTTGATTTTTATTTTTTTATGAAAAAACAATATCTTGAAATGGTTACTAGCATAAAATCCAAAAATTTATAAATTTAAATAATAAAATAATAAAATAATAAAATGGGATGCATTGAAATATATTTTTAATTTTATTTGAAAATAAAAAATCAATTGAAAGAGAATAAAATTTAATAAAACAAGAGGTATAGCATCGTTTATAACATACACACACACACACACACACACACATACATATATATATATATATATATATATATATATATTATTACTAAGTATGTATATTAATATGTATATAATATGATAGATGCATGCAATAATGTATTTTCTATTATAATCATTGCAAGCATTGTTAAAAATCTTGAAACTCCTGAGAAGACACCACATAATCCCTAAGAACTGAAAATTGCTTAATAAATGAAGCCCCCATATGCTAGTTAAATAAGTCCACTTTGTAACATGTAAATGAAAACATTATGCCACAAATAAAGTGAAAACATAAATAAATCAATAGAAATATAACAAGATATATATTTGAAATTGAACATGAAGTAAAATTTTGAAATCACTCAGAAAATAACGAAATATTAGAATGTTGACCTAAATATAGTCAATATTACAAATATTTTAAAAATTAAAAATCATTTTCAATCAAGGAAATAGAAAAATATTACCGATTCTCACATCAGCTATATAAAAGCATAAATGATTTTGCCTTTTTACCCCAATTAAATTTTATGAACTTGGAAAAGTCACATTAAACTGTGGCAAGTATTTGATTACTACTATGGACAAGTATGACATGCTTGTGAGCCTACAGAATTAATGAGCCTCTAAAAAATTGTATTTGATGGTTGACATCCACAAGGCCTTTAGTTATTGTAGTTAACTGAATTTTTATTTTACTTCCATTCTTGAAATCATGTTTAACATCTTGAAATCATGTTTAAAATCAGTTTATTATAGTTGGCAAATGATAAGTTGGATATACTTTCAAGTATGGATAGATATCAAAATATATGAAATGTTTTACAATTTTTGACAAAAAATAATTTTGACATCTAGCTTCGAACAATCAGTTAGTAATATTGACACATTTAATTCATCTAATTTTTCTGAATATGAACTTATTTTAATTATTAGTTGGATAAATATTTATAATTGGTAATTTGTTATTCTTGCCACAGCCTAATTTTAGTGACAGAAAACGTAACAAAAAAAATAATCATGGCATCTTCTTAAGACAATAAGGCACATTGGTCTTTAGAATCATAAAAAATAAATTGTTGTAAATATTGTGTGGTTACTATCAGTATACAAATAACTCTTAAAAATCTAAAGGTGTTTTCCTTAAATTAAGGATTTAATGGTTACATATGACTGATCCTTCAAAGTTCAAACATACAAATATGTATACATATATAATTTTATTAAATTAATTTGAGTAATCAATTCTTGACGATTTAAAAAAAAAAAAAAAAAAAAAAAAAAAAAAGGCTTAAAGATATTGTAAAATGTCATAAATCACGAAGAGGAACCATGAATTCAGATTACTTAATTGTTCTAATAATGCTTGCAATAAAATGTTTAAGTTTTAGGATAGTGAATATGCAAGGATAGTGAAGAAATAAGTTAGAAGACTTGGCATTTATTGAACGTTGTGTTAAATAATTTAGAAGGGTCAACACAATAATAAATTCGAAATTTTGAACAGCATTGTCTAAACAAAGTCCTGTTTGATACACATTCTCAACAAAGAAATAGGTTTTCACTTACTCGGAAGTGAGAAGTTCCAACACAAGAAATTTAAATTGTCCTGACCTTAGAAATCCAGTATGAAAGCTGATCACATATGACCTTGAAATCTACTCACAAATCATATTCCATTTGCTTTTGAGGGCCATGGCTTCAGCTACTGATGAGTGACCCCGTTGAATGGCAAAACCTCATCGTGAACGGGAAGGGGACCGTGCAAGCACAAACTGCATAAGTGATTATGCAACTCAAATATCCGAAGGACAACCGGATCTATAATGAGATACATAGAATAGTTTTGAACATGGCTATTTATTCACAAAGATCAACCGCTTATGTCACAAAGATCACAAAAACCTGACTATTTCTGTTCTTGTGAGGATTGAAGAACCGCGCTCTTATTAGGTACATCTTTCGGGAGGAGGAATGGCGTTAAATTGTTCCTCGAGCTGATGCAGCAGAGTTTAGCAACACTTAGGAGCTGTACATGACCTGGTGATGTACCTAAGAACTACAAGTGCTGGTGCTAGACTCACGCGACAATCACGTCTTCGTTTCCTCCATCTGTTGACTAAGCCACGATGACGTACAGAGCATATATGATTCCAGGAATGTATCCCAGGATCGTCAATAATAGACAGATCCAGAACTCAACCTGCCAAGACATCAAGTCATACAGCATGAGCACTCACGACGACAACACACGCAGCATCGTTCTCGCTGTGGAAGACCGCAAACAACTAGACAACCGGGCAGTCTCTGCGTCTTTGTCCAGGACAACATCCCTACAAACAAAGCAAACTAAACTTTCTAACTGCATAAACTCCCCTGCATGTAAAACGAAACTCCTCTGCTAAACACAACACCGAACTCCTCTTCTCCAGACACTCTTCGATCCAAACATTCAATCCAAATAAACATTTTAAAAAGAAAAAAAAAAAGTAAAAAAAGAAGAATATATGATCACTCACCCCGCAATTATACTTGAAGAACACGCCAAGAGGCGGTAAAAAGATGGCGAGGAGGATCTCGCACAACGTCGCAGCAACGCCTCCCTTGCCCATGGCTGCAAACTAACTCCACGAAATATCCAACTCTCGTGGGAAAATCCACCAAGAACACACTCAAAACAACGAACGAAGTTTGACAAAGTAGTAAGCACCACACAACGAAGCTCTAAAAACCAAAACAGAAAACAAAACCAGTGAGCTAGCTAGGTGTGATGAATCAAGTTGTTCTGTGCCTAGAGATGGTGTAGTAACAGAAGGTGTAGGCAATCGAAGAGTGCGAGGCAAGAGGCTGCTGAGGAGACGGCCTTGCGCATTGGAGTAGAAGACCGATTCAACCTCCTTCGATCCCTCTCGCACTAATTTTGCGTTTCCAATTTTACTAAAATTTCCTCCGCCTGATGTCACGACGCAGCAGCAATCGCATCTCTCTTGGATACTTAACAACCAGCCAACGTTTCAAAGGAGAAGAGGACCGTCCCCTTTGGATGACGGATGAATTCCAGCGGTATCGATGGATGATGGATGATCCAGCGAGGCACATGCGAAATGCTTGCCACGTGGGTGATTCTGTCTTGAGGTGGCGGATCTGAGGGGTCTGGGACCCCTCCACGTGTAGATGGGACGGGAAGAGGCAATGAGCGCCAAGTGGCGGGGGGAGACTGGGTGGAGGGGGCGTAGTATAGGATAAATTTGTCCTAGAATTCTGACTAGGTTTATAAATATTTATTTATTTGTGTGTGTTTATTATTAGAAATGTTTGGTGGCATTGTATTCGGTTGTGTGAGTTGTTACTATTGGAGGTAAGGTGAAATTGACATTTTTAATGTTTTTCCCTTGTGGATAGTTGGGGTTTTGAATATGACAAACGGGTTGATTGTTATTTTATGGAATGGTCTTGTTAGACGTGTTGATGTGGGTGGTGGTGACTTATTCTTGGTGCAAGTGTGGAAATGTTTTTTATACGAAGTTGAAGGGGAAGTGGGGTTGGGGACTATACACATTCACAAGTTATAGATTTTTTTAAATTTTAGATTTTAATTTGTCAAAAATATTTTTAAAAATATGAACCATAAATTTATTAACACGGTTGATATAAGATGTCACATCTTATTCTATATTTAAGTTAAAAATCTACATAATAACATATACATACATACATAATGGTCATAATAAAATTATGTGTTCTACTTTGATTTTAGTTTTAATAATATTACTTGTGATTTAGATTAACAGACATCGAAAAATAAATCAATATCCCACAGTTGTGTTTTTATTTTCTAATTCCTAAATTTAAAAATATAAAATATAAAAAAATATAAAATTGTGTTTACATTTTTAGTATTTTTTAAACTTTTCACTGAGATTTCATAAATCTAGTAATTATCCACTCAGATGCATCACAACTTTATCTTAAAAATCAAACTTCTGAAAGAATAAAACTAATAGAAAACACATCATCTGATGATTCAAAAAAACGCAATTATAAATGAAGTAATGTAGAATGCCAACATGTACCTTGAATATTATTAATTTTTATTTCTTTTGAATATGCTTCGATCAGTAGTTAGCTTATAAAAAGTAATCTAAACATTAAAAAGAAAAAATTTAGAACTTAGGAAAAGAAAATGAAGAAGGATAAAGCAGAGAAATGTGTGAAGAATTTATCCTTTTTAATACTCACTTACCAATTATATATCCCTTAAGAATTGAGACTCAACCTATGTATTTGTATAGTAAATCAAACAATGATTAATCATAATTTTACTTAAATTAAAAGCATAGAGAATCCTTTCTATTGAAAGGTTAAAATAACAATAGAAAAAAAAATCTTACAATAAATGTCAGAAATTTGTGAACAGATTTTGTATATTTGAATTTTTTGTAGATAAAAGTAAAATTGAAGATAATTTTTTTTTTTTTTTTTTGGGGGGGGAGGCCTAGGTCCTGGAAGATACCATGTGTTGAGCAAAACTGGGTCATCCCGCTATGGCTTGTGTCTCTTTCCCTGGTGAACCCGGCCTTCCTTCCATGGTCTCACCACAACACAAAGCAAGGCAAGGAAAAGAAAAAGAGAGGAACCCATGTGCAAGTTCTACTTTGCCTAGCAAGGGAAAGGGCAAAGCAAGGGCATGTTATCCGTTGTGACAGCTTACAGCTTGGCACAGCTCAGCCTTGAACATGACTGGAATGAGTGCGTCTCGAAGTTCCAGTGTCTTTCACAGTCACGTTGGGGGTTTTTCTTCCCAGGAATGGCTTGTTTCTATCCCTTTTGGAAAACACGCTGCTGGCCTTTGTGTCTGATCCGCAGTCCACACCCCAGCACTCACTAAAGCTCATACTTATGAGAAATAGTTTGAGAGAAAGACAAAGTTTGCGGACTTGGAAAGGACATTTTATGTATGACACATGAAGCGCCTTGGCCGGTTTCTGTGAAAGATGAGGAAAGCAAATCTATTGACTGGAACTGCTTCTTATCAACCGATATACAAAAGCATTGTTCAAGTGCCTTTTGACTACTTGGAAAAGGACAAATTCGCGAAAGGTTTTGTTTGCCACCGAAAGCATGGACCGGATTTCTTCGTGACTAGATGCTGGTGGACGGGCTTTGAGGGGTTAAGTCTCATGGCACATGAAGTGCGTGAGGCCTGTGAGAATCAAAACCCAAGTGACTGGGAAGCATCTACGAGATGTTCAGATTGATACTTATCGCAAAGACGTCTACATAACATCCCAATTAAGGGGTAAAATAGACCCCACATTCTTCAATGGAGATTCTGAACAGAAGTACCACTTATTTTCACACTAAATCTAGCTGGAAGGTCCTGATCCCTCGGTAACATTTGACATCGGCAAAACGTCTTAGCAGTAGTAAAACGTTGATAAGCTAGTAAGGTTACTATGCAAAAACTCTACACATAAATGTAATGTAAAATGGATACTAACTCCTACAAAAAAAATAAAAATAAAAATAAAAAAAATTGAAAGGTTTAAAAGCGAACGTCAGAAAGTTATCCGTCGCCACTATTCCTTGAACCGAGCTTACATCGCCAGTTTGCCTCGCTTGAGCACACAATTCCACATGAGCACTCCTCACCATCAGTAGCGTCTGCATCCTCAGGTGTTTGAAGATACAATAACTTGCTAAAAAAGAACCGCAAAGCATCAAATTGTCGACAAGTATCAGAAAATTGAATCCTGGGGTTCATTAAGGGACAGACGCACAGACCCAGATGCCACATTGCTTCACAAATATGAACCGAAACAAGAAATGCAGCACCAGAATTGAGGATCTTGCTTGTCAAAATCAGACCCAAAAGTACTTTTCTCCTCGACAACGACAATATTATGGGATGCAGTCAAGAATTGTCGTTCTCAGGTTTAAGACACTGGCTCCCTGCGTGATCTTGATAGCCTTGATATGCTCTAGTGGAATTGAATCTAAAGCCACATCCATCGGCAATCTGCAAGGTAAAACTGGGAATTCCATCCCATTGTCCTCTTTGCTTTTTGATCGTCACTCCAGTGAATTTTTCAAACATATGTACAGCATTTCATCTATCATTTGCTGTGAAATGAAACTGTTGAGCGCTACAAGTTCCCATAGAAAAGGGCACAGGCACTCTGGAATTCTCATCTAGACTTATCCTGTTCTCCAACAGCTTGCACTTCTTTATCCTTGTTTTCCATGGCTCGCTTAGCTAGCTCATAACCCGCAAAATTCATTGCCCCAAGGGGTGCAATCCAAAAGAAGCGAGGAATTGCTCCTTTGAAAAGAGCTAAAAGACCTTCATCCTTCACAATGGCAACCATAATAGCACCCATGGTGGATGGCATGCCTGGACCTGCAGTCATAGTTCTTGTCTTCATTACATCAAAGGGTGTGGTTGCGATAGCTGCAAGGCCTCCAGAGAGACCACCTATGGCAATTGTCTCCCATGGTTGCAGCTCCCTGTGCAGAACCTTTCGGACAACCTAAACAGGCGAAACTTATCGTGAGTAGGACCTTCGCAGAACAACTTGATTTATTCGACTTTTATACGAAGTTGTTCAAATTTACAGTGTGTAATCAGCTAGTGGTTGAATATGACCTGCCTTCTTAGCTTCCTCGTAGATACTCATGCCAGCAACGTAAAAAGGAACTTCTCTACACAAGGTCACTCCTGTTCCTCTGAAGAAGCCTTGCAAGCCATCTCGTTGATATGTTCCTACAATAGCTTCCCCCACACTATTGTACAGACCAGCTTGCAGTCGCTGTTTCAACACCTCGCATGGAATTCGGACAGCTGTCCCAATCACGGTGCTGGTGAATGAAGACAAGGACTGCACCTGTTGACACACGTTCCAATGGATCAAAGTATTTTCAAGGGTTCTGTAAATGAGTAGCGAAGTAAAATGCTGTTGTGAAAATGCATGAAACGCCTCGTTGAAAATAATTTCAAATTATATGCTTCGTACCTGAAGATCAGAAAGATCTGGTCCAACGTTTTTTAAGAGAAGCTTGCTAGCTTCCAACACACCTGTCCGAATTCCATGGCTGGCAGATCCCAAAAGATTCATTAGGTTCTCGATTCAGTCTACGAAATATACTTCAATCATTTAAGATTCAATGTTTTCCAAGTCCAATAGAAGCGTAAAGCGGATAGAAACCAAGGTGATCGGCGATAAATTGAACATGAGCTGGCACCTGGTAAATTGACCTAGTATTGCTGGAATAGATCCACGATACATGCCCCGTACACCGATCTGAGGTAGCTTCGCAATCACCTCTGGAAATGACAAGGTCGATGCTTGAACCCTTGTCTACAAAAACGAAAATAAATAAATAAATAAATAAATAAATAACTAAAAGTCATGACCACCTAAGGCGTATCTGTAAGAAGTTCAGATGGAAAACTCAGCCGTGAAAGATCTGCAGCGTCTCCAATGTACGACTTAAACATGGTGACTACTTCCATAAATTTGCTTCGTCACAAACGTTAAACACAATAAACACACTTCTACCGATAAACATTAGCCGATTAACTAAACAATACCTGCAATCATGCCAAACCAGTACAAAACGACACACTTCCATATAGCCAGGTCAAACAACGCTATTTTCCTGCAACAGAGACCAAAAGTATTGCACTGTACTATACTAGCAGTTCCTTCATAACGACCTCACCTTTACAGTATCAAGCGGGTGTAGCATCGAAGTAGAGAGAGCACTTGCCATTCCTCCAGCTAAAGCAGACTTCAGAACTGAACCAGCTGGAATGTCAACAGGAGGAGCCATAGGTACTACAGTCGCTGCTTCGAACCACACCATCCTTCACACCAACAATAGGCCATCAGCACTATAAAAACCCATCCTTATATAACTGCACCAATGATTAAAAAATCAAAAAACCAAATGACAAACTAGACCGAATATCTTAGGTATTCAAATCGGCACTAGGAAAGAAATATACCGTGGATCATCTCCAAGACGCTCTGGTGGAAGCAAAAGCATAAAGTTCCGAAATTGACCATAAGCAATCGAGCCCTCTGTGTCAACATTCAAGAACTTCATCATAGCTGCTGCATTACCATCTGTTGCAGGTAGCCCTGCATTCCTCAAGGAAACCAGCACCTGATTCTTCTGCAGAGTGCCCGACTTGCTCAAACTTAGTGTCGTGAAAGCGCGCAGCATCTGTGGCTCCTTTTGCTCCATCAACATATGAAATTCGCTCCAACCGATTGACTTTGCGAACCAGTGCTTGCGAGTCCGCCGAAGGAACTCCTTAGCATAACGCAGAGGCAATCTTCGCTTCTTCATAGCTACTTCAAGGTCTTCAAGAGTCACCTGCCCGTCACTGTCGCGATCTAACTCATCGAATAACCTTCTGCCTACAGAGTATAATCATCCTCATCAGGATAAGAAATGGTCAAAACTGTCATAGATAGGCCATACATCAGAGCCTCTTGAGCATCCTACTGCGTACGATGTTGCATAAAGGCAGCGATCGTATACTCAATTTAAAGAAGACTCTCTCTCTCTCTCTCTCTCTCTCTCTCTCTCTCTCCATTCAGTGTTACACATTAATAATTGCAGTACGGGAGTTAAAGTCCTTACCTTCGGCTTCCGTGTATCTAAAAAAGTCCTGCACTGATGTCAACTTCTTCTTGTCCGGGTAATCTGTTGAGCTTCTTGTCATGCTGGACACTCGATCCACAAGTTCCTGCACTCCCTCCTTCACGCCGAGGGTAGCCAAGGACGACCGTAATCCGTCCATGTTGGGAAGCTTTACTTGAATTGGATGTAAGCCTGAATTATTCCCTTTGTCACTTTGGACTACTGGACTTTTCACTTTCTCAATCGAATTCTCCGTCTCAACTACATCGTCGCTTCCTTCAGCGGTCACAACAACAGCACCAGCTGAGTCCCCGCCAGGTTCCCCTTGCAGCCTGGCGAACCCTAACGTCGCTACTCTCGAAGGCCTCGACCTTCCAGCCCCAATATCAACTAAACTTTCAACTGCCTTCTTCCTAAATTGCATAAAATTTGCTAACGAGAACCCTAAAAAAGGTCTTTCGGCTGTTTTCCTAGAAGATAAATCATGGCCTTCTACACGATGACCGCAGGTACACATGAATAAAGGGTTCCTTTTACGAAGGCACTTTGGTCCGGAGTGTTGTGAAACAGGCCTATCGTTTGAGTATTGAAATACAAACCCTAAAATAGGGACTTGCATCAAAGGATGGTGTGGTTGGTCGTTCGCTGAACACGCCGCGACCTGTTTAGACACATTACAGCCTGTCAACTTCGACACGTTGCTGGGATGCACATTGGCGGCGTGTTTCCGCTTCTCCCCCTGTTTGGAATCGCACCCAAGCATCATAGACATTACCATCAAGGAGACATTGATGATTCCTTCGAGCCCCGAGTCTTTACTGTCTATTCTGTTGTCCAGCTTCTCTTTGACGCAACAGCAACGGGAAGTGGCATCCCTCTTGCCTCTGCTGCTGTTGACACCTGTGATTGAGAAACCCTGCAAACTAAATCCCAGAGAGAGTGGCACCGCGGACTTGCTTTCCGAGTCCCAGGAATCTTGACGAACATGACAAGAACTACAGGTCGAAATTTGCGCCCTTTCATTACGATCTAAACCCCCAAAAAAACCAGAATTCGGCAACGAAAGGCCAAAAAATGCTTTCGTAGGATTAGATTGCTTCCCCAATGGCTCCACTAAATTGCTACAGCTGCAAGAACAGTGACTTTTATCATCGTCGTTGCAAATACCTTGCCGAAGGAGTGACGAAACAGCTGGCGGCGTCCCCTTCTTTACTGAAACGAGCGCCGAAACGAAGGAATTGAGAGGCTGCTCATGCCCCAAACTCGACGAAATCGACGCTACGGTAGGCAGCGATTGAGGCTTTGGCATTTGCAATACATTTACCAACTTCTGCACATTGTGACAATGGAGTGCCAGGACGACTATTGGGTTCCACCCTCCAGCCTGCTCCTGCACCTCCATGTCTCTCTTCAACCCAAATCTTCTCAAAGCCCTTCCTCCAGCACAAGATCTCCCCCACTAAAACCAAAACTCGATCAATCCACACAACCACCACCAAACCCTTCAACACTCAATCACCTCCTACTCCACTCTCCAAAACCAAAACCCACAATTCGAATCACCAACACATCATCACCGTCAGCCTCTCCTGCAATTTCGCATTACTACAACAACAACACCTCCCCCACTTCCTCAACCTCTTCAGCATCATCCACTGCTTTACCACCTCCATTCACACCCCATTTCAAACCCTAACGCCGATCCAGCTACACGATCCCCTCCCCAACGCTCCCACCATCGCCGCACCACCGACTGCGTTCACCGCTTCAGCCCCATCCTCCTCACCATCACCCAGAAACTTCAATCTCCGAAGTAACACTCCACACTCCAGCAAGCAGGCCAAAAAATAAATAAATAAATAAATAAATAAAGAGAGAGGGAATCAGTAAGCACAACAATGAAATGACACGAGGCTAGAGATGAGAGAAAAAAGAGAGCAAAGGAGGCCATGCGATTCACAAGGAGCAGTTCCCGTTGTGGCAGCGTGGCGATGGTATGCCACCGGGGACAAGGGGGGACGAGTCAAGGGCGGACTAGGCTTCGCCAGTGGGGCCCAGCAGGGCACGTCTAGCACTGGTACCGCAGCGGAAGAGGCAGTAGCAGCAGCAACAGCAAGGATTCTTCATCACCATCGCCATCCTCATCCCTATCCGGATTCTAGGGCTCATCCCCCTCTACTTACTACTACTATTCCCGTCCTCCTCCTCGTCTGCCAAACCTGGCGAGCAAACTCCTTTGACAAGCCCCTCCTCCCGCACGCGCTGTCTGTCAGTTAGTCAGTCTGTCTGGATTACGCTACGCCTCGCCACGCCTCGCTCTGCATCGCCCCACACGCAATGGCGCCCGCGTGAGTGAGTGAGCAGTCGCAGCCTCCTCGTCATGGGTCGCGGTCCCGCGACGCAGATGGCGTCGCAGCTGATCTACACTTTTGCATGCATTTGGGTTTGTGTTTATATCTGAACCAAAGCGAGACCCCCCATGCTAGTGTGTGTTTGTGATTATGGACATATATATATATATATATATATATATATACCCATACATTAAGTGTAAGTGATTATGTTCATATACATATATATAGAGGAATGTTAAATAAACCCCATTTTTTACTAAATTGATCTGTCCATCCAAACCATTATAAAAAATAAAATAAAAAATGACCTCTAGATTCATTTCTCCACTATTGGATCTGAAGCCAATAAAAACCAACCACATTCATCACAATTACCATATTCTTCATCAAGGGTGGGTCTATTTAGTAAAAACATAGGTCTATTTAACATTCTTTAATATATATATATATATATATATATATATACATTTTTATTGAGATTAAATGTGTATGTGGATATTTTACAATTTAAAACTTGACTACTAGATGAAAGAAGTTAAAATTATGAACGAGCATGGAAAAGAAAAAAGGATAAATAACAAATTGATGAGAAGCATGTTTAATGATTTGTAGTACTTGTTAGGGACATAGTCCTTAGAACCTTCTAGAGACAAGTTTCTAGAACCTTCTAGAAGCAAGTCTCTGGAACCTTCTAGAAGCAAGTCTCTAGAACCTTCTAGAAGCATCTTAGTTGGTAGAAGATATTAGGGACATAGTACTTAGAACCTTCTAGAGATAAGTTTCTAGAACCTTCTAGAAGCAAGTCTTTGGAATCTTCTAGAAGTTTCCTAGTTGGTAGAAATTGCTTGAGAAGCTTCCTAAATAGAAGTATATATTGGAATCGAGGCTGAAGAGTTCTTCAGTCTCGACAACACATCACTTTGAGCTCTAGCTCACCTCTCTAGTATTGTTCTTGTATTCATCTGATTAATCTAGTTCTTGCTAGTTCTTCTTGAACTTCTTGTTAGATCTCGAGTCTGTATTTCTGTGTCCATGATAGTTTGTCGAGACTTCACTCACCTCAGATATCAGAGTTAGTTTCTTCCTCATTAGAATGCGGATTACCCCTCTGCTTGGAAGTGTACTAGCATTTTAGAGGTTGCGGATTACCCTCTTCTAAACTGATACTTCTTTTGTTACAATATTAGAGTCTTATTCTTCTTGGAGAGAGTGGATTACATCTTTTCTTGAAGCTCTTAAGGCATTTTAGAGGTTGTGGAGTACCCTCCTCTAAACCAATATTGTCTTCTTGTAGAGTCATTTCTGTCCTTCTCTTAGAATGGCCGGAGGCCAAGACATTAGTATGACGAAAAGTTCGGAGTCCAAGTTGAATGTTATCATGAATGCCCTCGCTACATTATCGCAAAGAACTGGAGAGATTGAAGGAGTCGTGGCAAGGCTTCATAATGATGGAGCATCTGGGATGGCACAATCTAGGTTGCACCAGCCTCAAACTTCTGCACTTGGAGAAGCAACTTTGCCTCAAGTTCGACAAGCACCGCTGATTCTACAACATAAGGAGCCACGAGTTAGCCTTCCGGATAAGTTCAATGGTACGCGTTCCAAGTTTCGAGGATTCGTCAATCAAATTAGGTTGATAACAGTTTTACAGCCCGAACGCTATCCAACGGAGGAGTCACGTGTTGGGCTTGTTGGAACCTTACTTACACGGCAAGGTCTATCATGGTTTGCTCCTTTGTTTGAGAAACGATCGTCCATACTAAACAACTTTGAAACCTTTTTGGAGGCATTTGCAGAAGCATTTGGTGAACACGACAAGGTTCGATGGGCTACAACAAAGATCCGGTCACTACGACAAGGGATGCGCTCTACATCAGTCTATGCATCGGACTTCAGGCAATTAGTATGCGACATCAATTGGGGCGAAGAAGTGTTGATGAATCAATTCTATTGGGGTTTAAGTGATGATGTGAAGGATTTGCTGTTAACTCTTCCTAATCCACAAACGCTCAACAAAGCTATTAGCCAAGCTGTGAAGTGCGATAATTGCCTATTCCAACATCGCCAAGACCAACATTCAAGACAACATACAGTTCGCCATGCCCCAACTATGTCGACAAGCAGCGTGAATTCACATTCAGAGATAGAAGACATACAAATTGATGGGGTACGTGTCAAATCTCTTACTCTAGAAGAAAAAAAGTGGCGTATCGAGGAAGGTCTATGCTTGTATTGCGGTGAAAAAGGCCACAAAGTTGGAAACTACCCCAAGAAGCAAAATCGACGTATTGTCAGGACTAGAGGCACGTTTGTTCAGGAAAACGAGGATGCTCAGCCACAATAGGAACCGTGCGGCTGGATAGTGAAATATCACAACAACAACCAAGTTCCTTTCTTTCCGCTCAACCTGCCCTTTGCTTTACAATCCCTTTGCTTATTGGCCCTCAAAAACTGAGAATCTTAGCATTATTAGATTCAGGAGCATCTGCTTGTTTCTTAGATGAAGAATTTACGAAGTGTCATAAGATCCCTTCAGTACAAAAATCCAAACCTGTTCATGTTGAAGACATAGATGGGCAACCTTTATTATCTGGTAGTGTCACCCATGAATCAGAACCTATAGAAGTGACGTTTAAGGGCCATAGTAGTCATATTATTTTCAATATTATTAGAATCTCATCAAATCCTGTTATTCTTGGTCTTTCTTGGTTGAAAAAGCATAACCCATCCATAGATTGGAGGTTGCGAAAGATGACCTTTCCCATAAAACCACCCAAGAGCAAGCCTAGTAGAAAACCCTGAATAGAGAAATCCTTATTCATTGGAGCAAGAGCGTTTATAAGATCGTCCAAAGAAGGCTCACCGTTTGTCATTTATGCGACTCCAACTACCGGGGAGAAGATCTCGACAACAAGTATACTTGAGTAATATAAGGATTTTAAAGACGTATTTCAAAAGAAGAATGCCGACATGCTACCGAAACACCGACCATATGATTGCGCCAAAGACTTGTAGGAAGGAGCACAACCGCCTTTTGGCCCAATCTACAATCTATCGCAGACGGAATTGGCGGAGTTGCGGAAGTATATCGACGAGAATCTAGCCAAGAACTTCATCCGTCATTCAAAATCGTCAGCTCGAGCACTCATCTTATTTGTGAAGAAGAAAGATGGCTCGTTGCAGATGTGCGTGGACTATCAAGGCCTCAACAAGGTAACAAAGAAGAATCATTATCCATTATCCTTGATTTTTGGTCTCTTAGAACAACTTGGACGTGCAAGGATCTTTACAAAAATTGATCTAAGGGGAGCTTACAATCTCGTACGAATCAAGGAAGGAGATGAGTGGAAGACAGTGTTCCGTACAAGGTATGGCCATTTTGAGTATAATGTCATGCCCTTTGGACTTACCAATGCTCCAGCGGTCTTTCAACATATGATGAATGACATTTTCTGAGAGCACCTTGACGATTTTGTTGTCATCTATTTGGATGATATTTTGATATTCTCCAAAAACAAGGAAGAGCATGAAAAGCATGTTCGTTTGGTCTTGGAGAAACTACGTGAGCGAGGACTATATGCCAAGTTGGAGAAGTGTTTATTTCACCAAATAGAGATGGAATTTCTGGGGTTCGTTGCGACTACCAAAAGCTTGAAGATGGACCCCAAGAAGGTGGAAGCAATCGTGTCCTGGGAGGTTCCGAAGATGGTTAGAGACGTACAATGCTTTCTTGGTTTTGCCAACTTTTATCGGATCTTCATCAAGAATTATTCTCAAGTTGCTACTCCTCTCACTCGGTTGACATGCAAGGATAAGCTGGAATGGGGACCTCTAGTGGAGAAGGCGTTTCAAGACGTGAAGACCGCATTTACTACGGCTCCAATCTTGGTACATCCAGACTTTACAAAGGCCTTTTATTTAAAAACTGATGCTTCGGATTTTGCTTTGGGAGTTGTACTTTCATGAATGGGAGAAGACAAGAAGTTCCATCTGGTTGCATTCTATTCTCGAAAGTTCTATGCTGCTAAAATCAATTATGAGATCCATGATAAGGAACTTCTTGCTATAGTGGATTCTTTCTAAGAATGGCGTCACTTTCTTGAAGGAGTTGCACACCTAGTGACCGTATACACAAATCACAAGAATTTGGAGTATTTCATGTCAGCTCGAGTTCTAAATCGACGTCAAGCTCGGTGGAGTATGTTGCTATCTAGGTTCGATTTTATCATTACTTATCGACCTAGAAAGTAGTTAGGACTATGTGATGCCTTATCGAGGAGATCGTATCTTCTACCAAAGGTTGGAGAAGCAGCGTTTGATCAATAATGTACAACATTGTTGAAGCCAGAGCAATTTCAACTTTGCGCTATTATGGTGCCAATTAATGCTGACTTCCTGAATCAGGTACGTGCTGTGACCATTGAAGATTCAGTAGCCATTGATATTAAGCAGCGTGCCAATGATGACAAGTTCAAGGTGGAGGGAGATCTTTTATACTTTGAGGAGCGGTTATATATCCCAAAAGGACCAGCATGACTCCGAGTTCTTCAATCTCGCCACGATTTTCCAGCTACGGGATATTTTGGATTCAACAAGACCTTGGAGCTTATTTCTCGAGATTTTTGGTGGCTCCAAATGTGGAAGGATG